GTCAAACCGGGGTGACCACTGGATCTAGATTGTCCAGCCTGTCACCCAGCCCGACTGTTGATATATCTCCAAAGGAAAAAGGGAAACATTCCATGAAAAAGGAAAAAAACTGTGAAACCACAAGTCCCTGCAGAAACACAAGTCCATACTCCTGAAGACAATAGGCAGAAATTACTAAATTGCCTAAAGCAAAGAGGGGGTTTTATGCCCAGTGAGGACTGCCCATAGGAGGTGCCGAGTTTTTTTCTGCCTAGTTTGACCCTGTTTGGGCATGGATTAAGAAGAGAGGCTGTGTCTGTCAATGAATGCAAGAGAAATCACTTGAGTCATTAATCAAACTTTACATAAGAAACTAAAGAATGGGCAGTTTTTCTGAATTTAAAAAGAACATCTGCAGGTAGCCATATGCATATCTAGGTGAGCTCTCCAGTGCTTGCTTGGTACATGGACATTCAGGTTCATAACTTCTAAGTAACTTTTCCCCCAAAAGTGATCAGGAAATTATCTTTTCTGTAACCAAAAGGTGCCCAGATGTAACAATTGCTGCCTTATCCAATTAACAAGCCTTAATGACTCTGGGTACCTTTAGGACTCTACAAGAGATCTTCTCCTGTCAAAGATTTTACAATAGTGAGGAAAACAGTTTGCAAGGAACTACAAATACAAGCAATGGACTGCAGGAATATCAAGGGGGTTAACAGGACATAGCCCTACCAACTTAATGCTGTCGTCATTAGTCTGAGAAATGCAGACAGAAAGCCATTTAGAAAACTATCATTCTTTTTACTGAACTACTTACCTTAGTACCATAGGTTCTAATGCTTGAGATGCTAGCCTCTCAAACATACGTTGGAGTGGAGGGTGTAATGCATGGTCCTCATCAGCTAGGGCAGCACTGCATCTGTGCAACAGACGGGCATGGAGCCCTCCCTCACACATAACTTGCTGATTCCTCTCTGTGTGTACTAATGACTGTAAGATGTTTGCAACTGCCAACTGAAGATCCAAGGCATGCTGTAAGAGTAAAGGTTAAAGTCATTAGGACATTAGGAGTTTACATTTACTGACCCACTGAAAGATCTTAGTTAAGATAACACCAGTGAGAAGCAATAGGACAGTACAGCTTGCCCTAAATGTTTTTTTTGTCAATAAAGGAAAGAAAAGAAAAACATGGATTAGAATATTTGAAAATAGGGTGAACCTGAACCTCCTGCTACATTGCAAGTCAAAAATGAAATTTAATATAGTATGTAAATCAAGATATTTTTGATAAATTACTTTCACACATCTCTACAGGTTGCAAAGTAAGCCATATACCACACGAGTTATGCTTTGATATGGTATCTGTTCCAGCTATGTACCCAGGGACGTATTTACCGCGAGGCAAACAAGGCTTTTGCCTAGGGCGGAATTTTCAGGGCCCCCCCCCCCCCTGCAGAAGTGACACAGAACGTGGCAGTGCACACAGGAGCTGTTATCTGCAGGGTACACACAGTCAGGTCAGAGGCAATAGAGAGGAGGAGCTGAGTGGCTGGATGAGAAAGGAGCCTCTACTGATCACAGCGATCTGAGTGCTGGGACTGGGAGCGTCCGGTGCTCAGCTCTGCTCATTGCCTGTGTGTGCAGTGACATTGCTATGGGGTGGGTGGACCGAAGCAGGGTCCATCAGCAGGGGCATATGAGCCGACACCACACCAGAGACACTGATCCGCAGCTCTGTCCCCGGCTGGCTCCCAGCAGAGCGCACCGAAGCCGCCTCCTTCTCCGCTGTCTATATGTACACGGGAGGAGGAGGGGGGAGGAGGAGAGACACCGCTGTGCATGTCTGTGCTGATCTGCGGTCTGTACCAAGTTTCTTATATTGGTCCTGGGCAGAGGAGGGGGACAGAGTGACTAGGAAGGGGGGGGGGGGGTTAAAAAATGAATGATTGGGGGGTTAACCCTTTGAGGACCAAGGGACGCATTTGTCCCATGTTTGTAATTGCGTGTATCATCTGATTAAGAACTTAAAACTCTATTTTTTTTTTTTGGTTGGAGTCAAAATATTAGTTCTTATCAACAAATGGATCTAGCTTTTTGCCAATTATTTCATGAAATGGCTTAGTTACAGCAACTGAAGTGTACGAACTTTAAAAACAAAAAAATTTATTCTTTTGGCGTTCAAAACCTTACGGTCCTCAAAGGGTTAAGAGGTTATGTGCTGGGGGGGGGGGGGGGGCACCTTGGGAGGAGAGAGGATCTATGCTAGAAGATGGTTTTGGTTTTGAAATCCAACCTGACACAAGAGCACAAGCCTTCTCCCCTCCCAAAGTGCCCCCCCCCCCCGCACATATCCGACCACCCCATATCCATACTAGCACAAGTGGAAGGGGAGGGGGTCTGTACAGAGAGAGGGGGGGTCTATAATGATGGAGAAAGGTCTGTACTTAGTGGGAGGGGGGGGGGTCTATACTGAGGGAGGGGGATCTATATTTAGTAGGGAATGAGGTCTGTACTCAGGGAGGGGGCCTGTACTGAGGGAGGACTATACTTGGTGGAGAGCAGGGGCGTATTTACCGCGAGGTGGCATTTTTCAGGGGGCGGTACATTTTTGTGTTGCCTAGGGCAGCACAAAACCTAAATACACCACTGTATGTACCCCATGATTACACACACCTTATGTACCTTCTGGTCCCGTTGAAAGAAAAAAAAAAAATCACCAGTTACATGGAATTCCAGACTTAATTCTTAACTACTGAAAACAGTCCCTTACCCACCTTCCCCTCCTAACACCTATGCTTACTAACATGTGTAAGAAATATCTATTTACAGGTCCAGTCACATGATCCCACCCCCTTTTGTCAGCCACCAGAGCTGCAGGGGAGAGGAGAGTGTGCCGACAACAGATGGACCATTAAAGCCTATGGGTGACATCACCACTCCATACTTTACTAGCCGTTGCTGAGCACTCTGTCTCCTCTCCCCTGCAGTGCCACTGACAGACACAGGAGATCATGTGACCGGAGCAGACTGAAGAAAAAAAAAAAAAAAAAATAAGCAGATCTTTCTTACACAGGTTAGTAAGCATAATTGTTAGGAGGGGGGAAGGAGGGGGCATGTTTAAGAGTAGTTAGGGCTAAGCCTGTAATTCCACTGAAAGATACATGTTCATATTCTCAATCTGAAGGAAATGAAGAACCGTAGATAACAGCAAATTCTTTTTTTTTTTTTTTTCAAACAAAAGAAATGTAAAAAAATGAAATATAACTCATTATGGGCAACCATTATATTTTTGTTTTCCTTTTGAGTTTTTATAACTAGGCCTAAAAGTGTTTGTTAAAGCGTATTCTAAATATTTGGGGGTGGACACAGTAAACAGGAAAATAAAAAACAAATATGTAGAAAAAGATTTTTAAAAAATGCAAACAAAAAAACTCAAATGTTCACAAAGTATTTAGCTATGAACCCAAACAAGAGAGACTGTAGAAAAATATTTCATTATGTAACCCTTCCAAGGGCATAATTAATATAATAATGAGATCAATGAAAGTCTCTGTTTATTTAATTATGATTTTAATTAGCTTTATATAACCAAAACATAAGTCTTGAAAATCCTGTAAAAAGCAATGGCTGTGCCAACAGCAATTAAGAAGTTACTCTAACAAACAGAATGATAGAAACAGGTTAAACATGTAGAACACACAGTCACAATACAAAGCTGTACATTACAGATTTCTACATTACATACTTCTGGTTGGGAGTCAGAGTCAACAGATGCCAGGAGGTCCAGCATTGAAAGCATGGCACCGGGATGGATGATTACTGCATCTGAACCTTGAGCTGTACTTGCATGAACTTTCAGGTCACCAATGTTTTTAGGAGGTATCAGGGAAGAAGTGGATACTGTATGGTAGACATGTCTGGAAGGAAAAGATGAGAGCATATCAAGAACTTCTCTTCTGTTTATTTGGGGTTTTTTTTGTGATGTAAAAGTTTCACTGAAGAAATATCACAAAACAAGTGGCATTCCTTAGGCTCCATGCACACTGGGCGTTGTAATAACGCTGGTAATGTTAGCTGTGTAAAGTCACGTTAAAAACGTACATTTTTCAGCTATTGTAAGTGTTTTTGTATTAGCGTTTAACTGCTTTTTTTGCGTTTGGGTTTTTTAGAGGTTTTTTTTGACCAAAAAAAAAAAAAAAAAAAGATTTTTTTTTTAGTCAAAAAAGTGCAAAAACACTGGTTTGCCATGATTTACCACATTTTGTTGCGTTTTTCAGCATTAGAGCATTTTTACAGCTAAAAAAACTCCTCTAGAAACCCACTAGTCCTGGGGTTTTTTTTCCAGCCAAAAATCATTGATTACAGCCTATGTGTGCATGGTCACATAGGATAACATGCTGGGGGGTTTACTGGCTGTAGAAAAAAAACATCAAAAGCCAAAAACAGCAGTTAAAAGGACTAAAAAAAAAAAAAAACCTCTTCAGATAAATGTATTGATATTTACATCTCAGATACCAAAGAGATGTGAACAATCCCTAAAATGATAATTCAATGCTTATGCAGAATGCCAGCTACTCAGTCTGTGTTAGTAACAGGTCATATAACTGGGTTTTCATCCACTTTTTCCATTCTTAACTTTGAATGGGGCTTTGCTTTCTTGGAATCCAGAAGCAAACAAAGTAGAGGGCAGAGTTGCACTGCAGTGTTTTTGTATTAACCGCTTTGCCTACAGGGCACTTATACCTCCTTCCTGCTCAGGCCAATTTCCAGCTCTCAGCGCTGTCACACTTTGAATGACAATTGCGCGGTCATGCAACACTGTACCCAAATGAAATTTTTATAATTTTTTTTGTAACAGATAGAGCTTTATTTTGGTGGTATTTAATCACCTCTGGGTTTTTTATTTTTTCTTAAACAAACCAAAAACCACTGAAAATTTTGAAAAAAAAGAAAAAAGTTTTAGTTTTTGTTGTAAAAAAGTGATTTTTCTCCTTCACTGATGTGCGCTAATGAGGCTGCAGTGATGGGCACTGATAGGCTGCACTGATGGACACTGATAGGTGGCACTGATGAGGAGGCACTGGTAGGTGGCACTGATGGACATTGACAGGCATCACTGATGGGCACTGAAAGGCAGCACTGATATATGGCACTGATAGGCGGCACTGACTGGCACTGATAGGTGGCACTGACTGGCAGCACTGATAGGTGGCACTGACTGGCGACACTGAAAGGCAGCTCAGATGGGCACTGATATGTGGCATTGATGTGCACTGGTATGTGGCATTGATGTGGCACTGGCAAGTGGCACTGTTCAGCACTGTCAGCTGGCACTGATGGACACTGACAGGTGGCACTTCTGGGGCCACACTGATCATCAGGACACACTGATCATCAGTGTCCTGATGATCAGTGTACATGTCCCCTCCGCAGAATGCCGATTACCGGCTCTCCTCTCCTCTCGAGCTGTCAGCGTGACAGCTCGTGAGGAGAGAAATGCCGATAACCAGCATTTCCCTGTTTACATGTGATCAGCTGTGATTGGACACAGCTGAGCACATGACCGTGCCAGCATCTTCGGCTCTTTCCGTAGATCGGTGATCCGCTGTGTCCGGAGACACAGCGCACCACCGATCGCCACGCTGCGCACTCCCTGAGCCGCGCATGCGCGGTGACAATGGGAAGACGTCATATGACGTCCTCTCAGAACGAGAGAACCACCTTGCGCCCGTCATTGGACTATATGGCGGGCGGGAGGTGGTTAAAGCAGCTTTAAGGTCATGGTAAAGCCTCACAGCTACTTTTTGAATTCTTCCCCAAAGAACAATAGTCTAAACAACATGACCTTTATTGTCCAATTAAAGACTGGCCAGAAGACCAGACTGAGGAAGTACAACTTTAACAGCCATTTCCTCCGGACTTCTATGTCCCACTAGATCTATCACTAGATCCCTAAGGCAGCTCATACATTAGTCATTGTTGTTCCTTCAACCTGCATTTTTCATTCAACCCAATTCCCCCATCCACCTCAAAACTGTGGATGGGGGAGTCACTACTGCTGAGCCTTCCCTGCCATCAAAAATACACTGATCAGCACTGCAATCTATAGCCAGCAATGCTGATTGTGCTGAAATTTTCCAAGAGGCTGATTGTACAAAAGTCAATTGGTAAATCGACCTCTGTACAAACACTCCACCAATACATGGATTGAAATTTGATGTATGTATAGCCGACTTAGGCTTTTAAATGCCTTGACAAAAATTAACTTTAATTTTTTAAGCCATGCTTTTAAAACCCACCAATGTATTTGTATACAGAATCAGGTATTATAACATACTCCTCACCTTTCTCTTTCCTACCCTAGCCCAATAAAAGAATCACAGTCAGAGCACAAAGCAACTGCAGAGTCTTCAGTGATGACCACAACAATGGAGAGAAATGGCAGTGTTCTAAACCTACTGGGTTGTAGAGATAGTAAGAAGCTTTTAGAAGGGTCTCTATTCTTTTCTTTTTTTCAAATGAGGGGAGGACCTCACTTGATGATGCTGTCTTTACCTTTTAAGGATCAAGAACAAAGCAAATAAAAGTCTGAAATAAAGGACATTTAACAAAAAAGAAAAACAAAAAACAATCAATATGAAGTGCATCAATCACTAAATACATCACTTTTATATTATATTATTAATCATGTATTACTAAAGCACGTTGAAATGCCTCAGCCACATTAATAATATAGTTTTTTGTATCTGAGAGTCTTCTCTTCCAGGGAAAATAAGGTCTCTCTAAAAATATAACCAGTTTAAATATTTTATAGAAATGAAAGTCTGTTGCATTATTTAGGCCTGGCTTTGCATACACGTTTTCTATTTTGTCAAAGCATTTAGAATATTTTTAATGAGACATTGTAAAACAGAGAATAAGGAGACATAATGCAGTAACAGCTAGAATTTTTATTTTAGAGGTACTGGTATATATATAAAAAAAAAAAAAATCTTAATATGTAGGCAAGTTACCTTCAGATGTATGTGCCTAAAATAAGCATGCATGTATGCTTTGGAACTGCTGTTACAGTAATGTCATTAAAATTGTTAGTCTGCCCTTAATAGGTGTAACCCTAACACTCTGGCAAATTATCTTCTAGTGGCTAGGTCTATAAAACTGTGTGTATACATTTACATGAATACAGTTGTACCCTGGCTGAAATCTTGAAATTTTGGCAATGATATTGAAAATACGACTGATCATAAACAAATCTTATTTAAGAATAGTGATCACATGAAGCCATTTATTATCACATATGTACTGTTTGGCTCCTTTTTAAATCAGAATGACAACAAATCATCCAAATGGCCATGATCAAAAGTTAATATACCCTGGAATGTTAGGCCTTTGTACAGACACACAAGGTGAACCATCACAGGTTAAAATGGCAATTAAAAGGTTAATTTCCCACATATATAAATAGTCAATAAGTTTGTTAGCTCTCACGTGGATACACTGAGCAGGCTAGATACTGGGCCAAGAGGATCACAAAAAAAACTGTCAAAAAACTGCATAACAAGGTAATGGAACTTTGGATATCTTTTTATATCCTCTTCCATCTTTCTAAAGACTTAAATATGTCAGTCAGTGCTCTTAAATCACTTAAGGAAAATTCAGGGATCTCTTGATACGAAGCCAAGTACAAATACAGCAAGAAAGATTGCAGCCACAACTGCCAAAAAATTGTTAGGGATACGAAGAAAAACCCACGGGTAACCTCAGGAGAAATACAGGCTGCTCTGGAAAAATACAGTGTGGTTGTTTTGAAGGAGCACAATATAACGATACTTGAACAAAAATGAGCTGTATTGTCGACTTGCCAGAAAGAACCCTTTACTGTGCCAATACCCGAACTGTCTGAATTTGTATTCATGAATGGCAGGCTTAATGATGGCTGGCCATAGATGGATCCTTTTTTTTTTTTTTTTTTTTAATCTACCAGCTGACTTCACAAAAAAAACAAAACAAACAAAAAGGAATGGATTCCCCCATCCACACATTCAAGGTGTGCTTTTGTATTCTGATAGCAGGGACTCTTTGGCTTTCCCAATATGCTGATCAGCCCTGCAGCTGAATTAACCAAAATTTTCCAACATTTCCGTTCATGTGAACTCGATCATTGTGAATGGAAACATACATAGACGAACCAAAATTCATCTGGTTCAGCAGAAAATTTTAATCTATCTCTGGTCAGCTTAAATAAAGATGAGAGCCAGCACCTGCATCAGGACAATCTTGCTCAAATCTTGATTGTGATGAGACAAAAACAATTATATCCCTGAAGTCTGATAAAGGGATCATTTGAAAATCTGTGGATAAGGGTAGATCAATTGTTGTGTTAGATTATGCAAATTAACACCAGGTGATATTAGATGACTCTGCAAACTATTTACAGATTTCCACTAATTTGATACCCTGAATTAAAAAAAAAAATCAAATCAGTGACACTGGGTTGCAAATGGCTGAATCTCAACAGAGACTGCCGAGTACCTTATCGTTAAATTTCCTTTTATATGGACTGCTGGAAATTCTTAAAGCCTCAGCTCAGTTCCATCTGCATTTTAAAGGGCCTGGTGTTCATTTAACAATTGTTCCAAGTTTGAGAACAGAAGGTTTGCACAAATTCATGGAACTGCTCTATGCAGTTATGAAGCTCTTTCATTTGCAAACCTTTTTGTTGGTTTGCTTGAGAGGAAACATACATAACCCACAGCCATGTATCCAAACCAGGCATGTGCATGCTTCTGAGAAATAGTTGTCATTTGAAACAGTTCACAGACATATTTTAAAGAGTTTGTTTTGTTTCTAAACGCTCTCTCTGACTACTGAAGGTGATCCTATTTTTTTTTAAAGGTCCTCTGTTAACTTTGTGGACATGGAGGTCTCTGATGATGAAACGGTAAGATCTCTTTCAACCTGTTCTCTAAACCCATCAACAGAAACAGTACCCACCCTAACCACTTATGAACGAATCTTCCAATCTCACTGTGTGTTAAGGTTCTTTGGATTAGCTCTTATTGCGCTGCGCGGATGGCCAATCTTTTTTTTTTGGGGGGGGGGGGGGTTAGGACCTCATGCACACAGGCATATGAGATTATGACATTGGCAAAAAATGACTCTAGTCCTGAGTATTTCCATGCATTTATGTGTAGATCTATGTGCGATTACAAGCGTTCAGCATTTATAAGAGTATGAGTGTAAACTTACAGGCATTCAGAGTTAATAAGAGTATTAATTTAATGTATGCTATTCATTAGAATTGATGTACATGTATGTATGTATGTATGGGCACACACGTGTAAATTATGCTTATATGCTCCTCTTTATGCAGCTTTGGGGCATTTTTTTTTTGTTTTTAATGCCCCTGAACACTGTGCACAAATATGTGCCTAAATGCCTGCATGTGCATGGCCACATTTACATGGCTGTGAAAAAAAACATTTACAAGTGTTTTTTATTTATAGATCTGAATGCAGCTACATTGTTTTCAATGGACAATTCATAGAGTGATATTTTTATGTCCATATGAATGTAGGCAATAGCCTCATACACAGGTATGCTCCAAATATGCTGCCAGAAGTTGGCAGAAAAAATGCTTCTATTCTTGCATATGTTTATGCACTATTACAGCAGTATGACATTTATAAGCGTATGAACATAAACTCTTTCTATTGGCTAGAATATACATTTTTTTCCTAGCCACTGGTGTGTGTCTAGATCAGCCTTCTCAACCAGGGTGCCCTGGCACCCTGGGGTGCCTTGAGGTTTCTTCAGGGGTGCCTTGGCAAAATATTACAAAATTGCCTAAAACGTGAATACAAGCGAGTGGGTGGGACAAGCCTGCCTTTTAGTTACACAAAGCCACAGGTTTTCATTGTGCACCATTACAACCTACTAGCTGCCGGCGTCCTGACAACCAATGACATCAGTTGATGAGGATGTCAGCTGCCTACACAACATCCTAGTTTGACCCTCCCCTGCCCCTCTCCATCAGTGCGGGGGGTCACATTAGCTCAGTGATGGAGAAAAACTGAAGGAAAAGAGAAAAACTGGAATACTAGTCAGTACCAGTGTATTTGCTTTCGAAGAATAAATCACCTCCAATGTTGGGTGCCCCACATGTGTGGATGTTGCTGCGTTATATATAAAACTATTAGAATAGTTTTTCACATTTTAGAAAGGGGTGACTTTTTAAAATTATGGACAGTCTAGAGGCACCCTATTTTAGAATGGGGTGCCACAAGACTGTCCATAATTTTAAAGGGTGCCTTGACTGAAAAAATGTTGAGAAACACTCAATATATACAGTTGTGTCCAAAATTATTCAACCCCCAATGCTGTAAAGGGGTTTAGGGACTATAGTGTACATTTGGAATTGTATTCAGAATCAAATCCTACAAGGACGTTGTAACTACCCAAATGCAACTAAAATGACATCAATTGTTTATGTAATACAGTAGTAAATGGTTCTTATGTGGTTTCTTCATTGCCACAATTATTCAACCCCTTAAAGACTACCACTCTGAAGAACAGAGGTTCATACAGGTGCTTTCCATCAGGTATTGAAAACACCTGTGGAT